CTACCAGTATGCCACCTCAATTAGGCCAAATAAAATCCCTTATGTATGAATGGAGGTAGCTGCTCTCTTTTCTTTTAGGTCCTAGGTGGCTGGTCTGTTGCCTATTCCATCATCTTCCTCCATAAATCCACTTTAAGCTACCATTTACTTTTATGTTAAAGAATCTACCAGAAAACATAGTGGGGTTGATTAGGAATAATGTGTAACAATTCTGTAATCAAATTTGAATAATTATATTGTAGATATACTGAGGTGGGGAGAAGAGCCTTTTGCTTTTCTATTGAAGATGTTATACTATTGTATAGTGCACCAATAAGTAAGAACAAAGCGCTGGGGATGGGCAAAAATAAATTGAAGAATTGTCCTTTCTCATATAAACCATCTCTTTCTGTATCAGAGGAAATGAACTGTATTTTGAACTCCAGGTAAATAATTTTGACTAATTGTGTGACATTAAAGATGCTTTCTTTCTAAAATAATATTGTAATAGGAAATAATCCCTGATGTGAAGTTGAGATCTCAGTTCCAAATCCTACAAGGTGCTAACTCCCAGAAGATATTGATCACCTTCAGCTTGTACTGAACTCAATGGGCTTTTAGACAACTTAGCAGCTTGCAGTAGAGATCTTACACAGTAACTATTTTTTTGGTTAAAACAAGGAGCCTGGTGGCACTTTAAAGACTAACAAATGTATTAGGGTATTAGAACAGCAGCGTTTGTGAGCTACAGCTCACTTCATCAGATGCTGAAGGAAAAAAAGATACAGAGCAGGCAATGTGACATCAGTGCTAATTAAATCAGAGTGGATGTGGCTTATTGCCAACAGGGATGAGAATGCCGGAGTCTCTGAGGGTATGTCTACACTACCCCCCCAGTTCGAACTAGGGGGTAATGTAGTCATTCGGAGTTGCAAATGAAGCCCGGGATTTGAATTTCCCGGGCTTCATTTGCATGATGCCGGCCGGCGCCATTTTTAAATGTTCCACGAGGCGTACAGCTACTTCGGAATAGGAAGCCTAATCTGAACTAGCTAGTCCGTGCCGCGTGTAGCCGCGCGGCATGGGGTCCGAACTAGCTGGCATCTAAAAATGGCGCCGGCCGGCATCATGCAAATGAAGCCCGGGAAATTCAAATCCCGGGCTTCATTTGCAACTCCGAATGACTACATTACCCCCCTAGTTCAAACTAGGGGGGTAGTGTAGACATACCCTGATTGAGAAATTACCTGTTGTAACATGAGAGCCACTGTCTATTTAAACCTGGGTTTAGGGTATCAAATTTGCATATAATTCCAGTTCTGCTATTTCTCCTTGCAGTCTGTACATGGTTCAGTGCTATACATCATATCTATAAAAACAGTTTTAATAAAGGAAAAGAGTTCCCCAGCCAGCTGTGAGAGGAACGCACAGAATGTAAGCACCTTCCTCCTCACTCCTTTAGCACCTGAGGAACATCCCAAGCGCACAGCTGTTGTTCCCTCCTACCCTCCTGAAAGGGCGCTCATTTGTCCACGTCCTTTTTGTAGTGGGGGTCCAAAACTGGATGTAATACTCCAGATGTAACCTCACCAGAGAACCTCCAAGAAGAAGTCATTTTTACAAGGTGCAACTGAAAAGTCGTCAGTAAAATAACATTTAATGTAGATTTTAAAGAATGCTCTTCACCCTTACAGTTGGGCTAGAGGCAAATCATAAATGTATGCTTCCTATTTCCATATCACATCAAATGTTCTTGTGAGTTTCAATGAGCAGAATCCATCATGTAGTAATTCCTACAAGTCCTATGAGAGTAGAACTAGACAATGCATTTGCTTTACCCATGCTGCACAAAAAAAGATTATACAGGAGTAAAGTTTCACAAATACTTTCTGCTGAATATAACACGAAAAAAGGGTCCAGAAACTGTACACTGTACATTTTGAGCCTTCTCTCCATCTGGAATGCTGTGATTGTGATCAAACAAGTTTCCTGATTTATTTTTCCCTCAAATAGCTGTGTTAACCATCCTGGTAAAGACTTTTGCAAGAACTTAGAAGACCTATCATCATAGCTTAGGATGGAAAAGATGTGTATTTTTATTTTCAAACTTTACAGTAGAGGAGAGTAATGTACATCATTAACTGAAAGGGCACATTGTTTTATGCTTCAGGGTTAAGGAAAATGTGAAATGATTGCAATTTATTTAGTGCAACAGCTTATAAAACACAACCACGAGTTTTAGATGACCGAGTTTTCCATAAAACAGCCATAAACAAAAATAATTATATTCAGTAAATCATTTAATACCAGTCATATTTTATGTGTTTCTAATAGCATAGATGAAGAAAAATACTAAAGACCTGGAAGATATTTTTGGAAGGATTGTGTTTGTTAGCATTTTTCTATCTTTTCAAATAATAAATTTTGCTCTCTATAAAAAAATAATCCAAAGCAAGTATATAGATTTGGAGAAGTGCACACTGAAGTAAAAGCTGTATTTATTTCTGTGTGTACATACGTACCTGTGAACGTACAGATAAATGTACTCAGTACATTTGAATTTCATAGACATAATGCATTTATCTGAATTTGAGCAGTTATCAAAGCAAATGTTCGATGTACTCATTTGAACATTGCACAAATGTTCTGAACACACACTGATAGTTCTCCCAATAGTGTTTTTCTTTAAAAACAACAAATTAAATGCAATCAAAATAATTCTAATAAAACTTTCTAGTTAATATCTGAATTACTTACCGGTATATTGAGAAATTATAACCTAAGGATCCTATTACAACTTTACTTTTGTCATCCTGCATAGTCCCAATTCAGCAATGTATTTAACGCACATACCTAACTCCATGCATGATGAGTCCCATTGATCTTAATAAGAATACTCTCATGTGTAATTTAGCATGTGTTTAAGTGCAATAATTCACTGAATTCTGGTGTAGATGTGAATAAAGAAAACTTTCACCACTATAGTATATTGTATAGCTGTGGGGGCTCAATGGAACTCCTACAAATTATGGTTGTTGTTGGAAATGTAACTTGATATTTTAAATATACAGAAGAAGGAATATCCATACTGTAATACTGAATTAACTTTTTAGTTTTGGAATTTAACGTATGGGACATTCATTTTCCTTTTTTTGAAGCTCACATTTGAACTGCAAAAGCAAAACAACTGATAAAAGGAGGCGGGGATTAGGTGGGGAATGTTAGTTTCTGGACTAAGGTTCTTTCAACACTCAAGACATCAGAGCCATTAAACAAGATGATGTAAATGCCAGCTGCTGTTTGTTTTAAGGGATACAATGTTCTTCAATGACAAAGCCACTCTTCTACAAGGTCAGATTATTTTACCCATGTTGCTATGGTGAGAGAAAAGTTGATGAAAAACTTAATGACTACTTGTCTCATTGCAGAAGAAGCAACAACAACTGAAGATTAACACTGTCTGGACCAGTGCTTCTCAACCTTTTTTTAATAAAGTACCCCCTTAAAAAAAAGATAAGTACCCCTCTTTAAAAAAAATGAAATTAGAAGTACCCATAGTACCTACAGTTTTCAGACACACACAATTTTTTTCTACCATTGCAACACATTTGTTTAAACAACTTAATTGTAGCCGGGTGGGCGATGAAACTTTTTGGTGTAAAAAGTACAAAAATAATAAAGCGCTGTAAAACTTACAACAATTCAGTTTTCTTCAAATTTCAGTTGTGTTGACATCCCTCCCACCCCCCGACTTCTTGCAAGAACTCCTAAGGGTACTCACACCACTGGTTGAGAAACGCTGGTCTAGATCAACAGTATTTTATAGCCCCGTGTGCTTAATATGTAATACCTAAGCATACAAATTGATACTTTCAGCGTTCTGAAAGCCTTCAAGATGTTGTGAACATAACAAATTATTCTTTCATGTCATTCAGGTACACACACTAAGACACCTGTGGAAGGTGTTCTTGCCACCATATACCCTCAGAAATTTTGCCCAGAAAGTGGGAGGCAGCTTTAATTATTCTGGAGCACCACTAGCCAAAGCTGCTGAAGGAGTGGTACTAAATCATCACTTCTAGGAATTGACTTGTAATACTCATAGTAATTTTAATTTCTAAAAGTCCCAATTCATGGATACCTATTACCATATCTTGTTTTTACTTCTGTCCATCTAAATATGAGCTTTTTTGTATGTGTTCTTTTACAGCCTAGTTGCTATGGAGATTACAGACACACACTTCCTTTCTCTCTCAGCCTGAAGTTGCAGCCAGAATGTTTTTTTGAAAACTACTTTTTATATTTCAGCATTGTCTCCTTTCAATACATTCATTTCCAAAAATGTGTTCTGCTGATCATGAAGCAAGAACTGGGAAATGGCTTCCTGCCTCTATTATCTATTTACACTTCTAATTGTTGTCTGACTCTATCCAATGCTTCAACACCTTTTTCATTGCATTTCCTCCCCACCCTCCCACATACATACCTCTCCAATGATCCTGGTTCTGGACTATGCAGACACTCCCAAACCTTTTCTCCTCAGATGCAGACTCCCTCCTGCCTTGTGAAAAATATCTGTTTTCCTCCCATCTACTTCCATCACAGGATTCCCTCAAATTCCTCCCCTGCTGCCTCTTAAATATAGGTTCCTCACTCCATCCTCCTCCCAGTTGTAGATTCCCTCCCACAAAATCTCTTGAGCTCCCTCTTTATTTGCCTTCCAGTTGCATTCCCCTCCTCTTTCACACATCTTGGCGGAGGGGAAAATCTGCAACTAATATAGGTTATTTTATCTCAAACAGACAATGGGTATGACAATTTACATCAGCTGTGGATAATTTCTGATGACTGAAGGCAGGAATAGTGCAAAGAAACTTTTAAGTTCTCACACGTGATACAATAAACCTCTTCTTATATGTTTTGCGCTACGAATTGTGAAGGAAAAAACTGCTAGACTTTCATCCCAGAAAGGCAAGTAATGTAGATGGAACACTTAAATCAAACAAACACAATCCAGCTACATTTTAAAGTATAATCACACATTTTATTTATGGCATGTTCAATAATATTTGTAAAACAAGGATTGTAACTTTGTTTTATGCTCAACAAGCATGTTTAAGAAGCAGCTATTCTTTGTTATTAACAACCTGACAACAGGTACATTTTAGATGAATTTCAATTCTATGGAACTGCAGAGTAGTAACATGGTGCCAGTTTAAAACAAGGACATATTGCTAGATTCAAGCTAATGAAAATTTGAAATTAGAGCAGCAATAAGTACAGTAATTTGACTAAGCACTGGATAATGGAAATAATGCCCCTAAATGACAAAAAAGGTGAAAAACTGAGCTGTCCTTTATAAATGTTTTAAAAAAAGAGCGATTTAATAACTACAGAAGTTTCTATTCAAGGCTCTATAGCCATGTCTATACTCTGTGGAAGATCAATGATGCTGAGGTCCATCTTCTGGGGGTTTGAATTAGCGGATCTAGTGAAGATCTGCTAATTTAAACTGAGAGGGCTCCCCCATCAGCACTAGTAGTCCTGCTCCTCAAGAGGAGTAAGGGAAGGCAATGGGAGCCTGCTGTTTTGACATCTCAAAAAAATAATTTAAGATGTGTCGACTACAGCTACATAATTAACGTAGCTGGAGTTGCGTATTTTAAGTCAACCTCCCCCTTTAGGGTAGACCAGGCCTATGCGAATGTGCTGTAACAAAATAATAGTCTGCTATATATTAGTGATTATCTCACTGTCTCAAACTTTTGTCTTTCAATTGTTCATGTATAATAAAATAACCATATAATTTGACTATTTCTGAAATTCAATGCCTTCATATAACCACTCAACACAGACTGGACTGCATAGTTTTTCTTTATGCAAAAACTTTATTATAAGTCCTTGCTAAAAAAACCAGAAAGGTGAGAAGATTCAGACATCAAGTCTTTAAGGTGCCACAGGACCCCCCATAGTTTTTACTTGAAATTGAGTTATTCAGACAAACTGCACTCACACTTCTTTACCATTGTTACTTAATTTAAGCTTTACAAGAACCATGTGATGTAGGTAAGGAATATAAAGGGACTTCTTCAACCGCCACTGAAACACAACCACTTTTGAAGCATAAGACAGAAATTACTTAGTGGTGCACAGCAACAATACCTAACAGTTTAGGACAGGAAGAGAAACACAGTATCTAATTGAAAATTCAAGGTGAATTTAGGTGGGCACAATATATTTACCTGATATAGAATTTGTGTGAAACTCAAACACCCCATCCTTTGGAACTTTTATGATGAGATTTTCAAAAGCTCTCAGCATTGGTTTAACTTGGCTCCCATTGCATTCAATGATTTTAATAGGAGCAAAGATAGAACAGACCATCTAACAAAGTGCTTTTCACCCATGAAAGCTTATATCCAAATAAATCTGTTAGTCTTTGAAGTGTCACAGGACTTGTTTTAGTTAGGGTTATATAGTATAAGTTGTGGGTGCAGTATTTTCCTCCCCTTTTCTGAATGGAGATGATCAGTACTGAGTCAAGTTAATAGGTCTGTTTCTTTATTGGTAAATATGTAAAGTAAAATGACATACCCACCTCTGTAAAGTGACTTATAAGCCATTATAAACAGTGTATTTCAATAATAATTGAGTATATTCAATAGTGTAATTGCTTTCTATGAATTTTTGTCACAACTTTATGTCCATGTTCAAGTGAATGAAGACTTCAAGTTGTCACAACTGCAGCTAAAAGAATTTGGTTTTGCCTTTTAATCAGACAAGGAAGTTGTATGCTACTCTTAATTCATTCATTGAGCATTGTCCATCCTGTGCATTGAATGAGGAAGAGTCCTATGGGAAAAGCAACATGTGATCATCTAATTAAAGATTTATCATAATTAGAGATTCTGTTTTTCAGGGCTTAATAACTTCATTTTGAGGGGAGGTTACTTTTAGTAATTATTGAAAGCATTATGCAGATATAAAAAAAAGTGGGTTTTTTCGGAGCTCTCTCTGGCTGCGTCTAGACTGGCCAGTTTTTCAGGAAAATCAGCCGCTTTTCTGGAAAAACTTGCCAGCTGTCTACACTGGCCGCTTGAATTTCCGCAAAAGCACTGACTTCCTACTGTAAGAAATCAGTGCTTTTTGTGGAAATACTATGCTGCTTCCGTTTGGGCAAAAGTCCCTTTTGCGTAAAACTTCTGCGCAAAAGGGCCAGTGTAGACAGCTGAGATTTGTTTTCCAATTGCGAAAATGGTGAGTGGGGCTTTTTTGCGGAAAAGTGCATCTAGATTGGCACGGACTCTTTTCTGCAAAAAGTGCTTTTGCGGAAAAGCGTCCGTGCCAGTCTAGACGCTCTGTTCCAAAAATGCTTTTAATGGAAAACTTTTCCGTTAAAAGCATTTCCGGAAAATCATGCCAGTCTAGACGTAGCCTCTATGTATATGCTGCATCGAATAATGTAAATTATATCTATTACTTACTATCGCAGAATATAGTATTATGCAATCCTTTTAGAAATGTTCCATAGTGCCCTTTCATGTAGTACTATTTCAAATAGTACTAAAGTGCACTAAGGAACACTTAGGCTATTTCTAGACTGCTTATCACTTGCTGCGGCATGTAGTGTTATGTGTTGGTACCTGCTGCAGTGAAAAGCAGACTGCGTCCATGCTCCAGCATATAGCTACAGAGAAGTGAAAGGCCATTGCGGGGTGAGGAGGTGAGTGGGGAAAGGTTCCAGCAGAAGGATACACACAGCTAAAGCAGCAGTGATGATGACGTATGCAATGCTTGGGTAAGGGCAGTGCCATGTAGGGAACACAGCCACAGGACTCACACACAGTCCTCCCTTGCTTAAACACCAACTCACCATCCATACATGTAGCATGTACGCTACACACCACCAAGTATCTTCAGTGTGTACACAGGACCTACGCAGAACAATTAATGTACAACACATTATTGCAGTTCATACGTCACATCCCTGTATTCAATATCTCTGATCCATGTAGACAAGCCATTACCGTAGAACCTCAGAGTTACGAACACCTAAGAAGTGGAGGTTGTTCATAACTCTGAAGAAAACATGATGGCTGTTCTTTCAAAAATATATAACTGAACATTCACTTAATACAGTTTTGAAAGTTTACTATGCAGAAGAAAGATGCTACTTTTCATTTAGACCAGGGAGACGGGGGTGGCAGGACCGCCCAAGTCCTCCACGGCTTTGCCTCAAAGAGGCAAATGGTAAGCCTAAAGTAAATGCTGGCAAATAATAAAAATTAAAAGGCAAATCACAAACTGTAGACACTAAAGCAACTTTTTATTAATCTACAATATCACACATACTTGTGTAAACAATCATTGCCAAATAGACTTTTATCCACTGAGACTTTACACTGATCCACAATAAAGCTCTGCTTTCCTTCAATTTTAAGGCTTAATAATTATGATCATAATAATTAATAGTTTGATGAAATTAAAATACTGTAGGAACCCTAGGTCTCCTAGAACTCTCTTCCTAGCAATTTTAGTTAGGATACAAATGGTATATTCCTTCATTTATATAAAATAACGGACACAGCTGTTCTCTAAGGTCACATCTACACAGCAGGGCTAAAGCCGAAATAATCTATGCATCCTGAGCTTCCTCCGATTTCCCTTATGCCTCATAAAATGAGGGTTATAAGAGTCGAAGTAAGAAGTCCTCCAGCTCAACATTATTTTGACATAATGTCAAAATAACTGCTTGTAGTGCAGGTGAGGACTATGTTATTTTGGAACAACTGGCGTCATTCTGAACTAACGCTGCTGTGTAGACATATCCTAACTTACCACACAGGGTCCTCAATTTGTGAATTGCTCTTCTTTCTAAGAAAGCTTGTCAGGCTTCAGAGTCTTGATAGTGTTTCAATTCTTTCATAAACTTTGCATGTCCTTTTCTGCTTTTTTATATATTTCTGCAAAAAAAAGATACAATACATGCTATAATATATTTATATATATTACTAGAAAACTTACCTGGTGTTTATTGCCCAGGTCTGGCCTGGCTGCGGAGGTCTCCTGTTGGTCCCCAGATCTGGGCTAAGGGGAGGAGTGGGGGCCATGCTGGGCAGCCTGGTGGTGCTGAGGGTGGGTGTCTCTGGGTCCTGATGGAGGGAGGGGAGCCTGACCCTGGTACTGCTCCAGGGGAGGAGGTGTGTCAGTCGGGCCAGTGGCTCCTCCTCTCAGGTCTGGTGCCAAAGCAGAGGAGGAAAAGTTTGAGGCAGGGGGAGCCACTTACCTGGGCCAATAGCAGGGCTTGCCATCTTGCCAGCCCCCAGCTGGCCACTTCCATCCTTGTACAGCTGCCCCCCCTGTGATCACTTCCCCATGTATAACTGTCCCCAGTTGTGACTGTGCAGTATTGCATCCTTCTGATCCTTTGAGCGTATGGAAAACAATCAAACTCCAGGCACATCCCACTTTCTTGCCATAACCAGACCCTGACCTTACTTTAAGTAAGGATAAGAGAAAGCTGCACACCAAATTTTTTGGTCCTAGCTCTTACCATTTAGGAGGAGTCTTGAACAAACAGACTCACAGACAGACTATTAGATAGACAGATCGATAATATAACATGCCTCTTTTAGTTTGCTGTCTCTTTTAATGCTGAGAAGGCTTACTCGTTTTCCTGCTTGAGAAAGTTCAAACCACTGAGCAGTCAGCATCATGGTAATTTCAGTCAAAGGCAAATATGGATGTTTGACCTTCATTTTAATGCTCCACACATTCAAGAATATTATATACCTATCAACAACAGCGGGCAATATATCAGCAATTAACAAAACAAAGTTGTAAAAGGCATTTGTGTTATATATATATATATATATAAATGAAATACATGTGTTAAATACTGCCTGGTAGTTAACTGTTTATAAAGTTAGGAAATTGCTAGTTATACAACTTCTACATGGCTAAGTGAACCTTCCTTCAAATCATTTTAAAGAAAAATCCCCATATGGGTACACAAATCTGCACTAACCCACAAGCACACATGACCACTCAACCTACAATACATTCCCTTTAGCCATTTCAGTCCTTCGCTGCACTTTTTTTTATGAATAGGATTAATAAAAGGTATTTGTCAAAATGCAATTTGAGAATTTCTAACATTTCCAAGCTATAAATATTTAATTGACCTCAGAGGCCATTCCCAAAGCCTTTAGCATTCTCTAAATCTTTACAGTTCAGAGCCCTAAGTTGCTTTAATATACTGCTTACAAGAGAGCATATTAAGAACAGTAAATTACCTGAATAACATATTCCACACTACTCTTACACGTTGCTTACCCTGTTGCATGGGCAGGAGGAGCTGAAAATTCCTTTGGAGATTTCCTTTTCTTCCCCTTGGACCAGCCACATTTTTTTTCCTAGAGAGGAGAGGGGAGGTAAAATACTTTGGACAACACTGCCCTTCACTGGTAGATCTAGCAAAGTCTAATGAAGAGACATAACTCCCATTTAGCAAACTAATATAGATGCAAAGCAGTTACATGGGTACCTTCACTGTACCATCTTGCATTACTATTGAAAACGGTATGAAGTACAATCATGGTTAATTAGAATGTTACACATACCCCTATATGATGTCTCTTCTGCTTAATGTACGTACAGCTTGAAACCCTTCCATTGTCATTTAACAACATATTAATATTAGTAGTTGTTACTAAATAATATGAAGCTTTTTCAGCCCTATATTGTTATTCTGAGCAGATACCTTTGGCACACTGGAAACTTTTTCCTTGACATCCTGCTGTTCTTTTAAGACAATCTTACTTCTTGAAGAAAAAGAGCTGTGCGTCATTAAATGTGTGGATTCTTTTTTATTTTTAAGAGTGCCTCTGATAAGAATGGACTAAAATGCCGTCTAACCTTTCTGTCTGATTTTCTGTAACTATTTATTAAATCCTGTATTCACAAGATGTAGGTGGAATTATGCTGCAATCACTCTCTAAAATGGATAGAACAATGATGGCCATCACATGTATTTCTCCAAGACAGCCTATTACCTTTTATACAAGATGAATCTGACTTAATGTTTTATGCTGTTGTAATATATTTTAAATATTTGTATTATAAATGGAAATAAAAAATGTGAACATGACAGTGAACAATGATTAATACAATGTTTTTACCAAATATACAAGTAACACATTATTACCCCCAAATAACTTTGTTACTGGTAGGGAAACACTGAAATTTGATTTGGGAATCTTAAAATAAATGCCTTTGTTTATTTATTGGTCCCATAACCAAGTATCAGTGTTGAAGAGGAGACCACAGTCATCTATTATTCACCTCTGAGCTCCCCTCAATCCCCCAAAAGAACTGCTCTTGGTGAGGGACAGTGGGTATGAAGCCCTTACCTTCCCCTTCTCAACATGGCCTCAGTTTCTAATGGTAGGTCCAGTAGCTTGGGAATAGGGAAGGGCAGATTTTTGGTTTCTCTAACCCACTTGTATGGGCGGCTTGATCTCCTCCCCCTCGCTGCAGCTCCAAATAAGACTGATTATACCAGACTCCTCTAACTGCTTGTAAGATGCGATGAGTCCTCCTCCCCAGCCTTCCCTGAAATGAAAGGCATCTTGACTGATTGCAAGAACAACAGCAGGTTTAAAAAAATCTTTTTAGTAAACTAGCTCCTTTTATTGTGCATATTGGCCTAGACCTTCTGGCAACATACCACAAAACTGAACTATTTCTATTCTTGGGCTTTATTTTACTGCTGTGGCCTCTGGAGATGACCCATGTTTATATTATATGTTGACTATATATAAACTCAACTATCTACCACTGTTATACTGTATTTCTAGAACATCTTCGTTAGATGTAGATAACTAAAAATCCTGTGTTTATCATATATTTTCTAAATATATATTCCTACTTCATTTTTACTATGATCTGTGTAACATGGGCATTACAGGACATAATCTAGTCTCCTAAACGTTATTTTGGACAATGACCTGAGCAGCTTATCTATTCAATTTATTGATGGAGGCAAGGTCTGTTTTCAGTTTCCACTGGGCATCAGATGCAGCTTCAAAACCCATAAAGTTTATAAAATGCATCACTGAAAGACTGTCCATCAACAGTAAACCTAACACACACTGTAGTCTTAGTGTTGGAGATAAAATATTGTAATCGTAAAAGGGATTGTTTTATACAAGTCAGAAGCAACAGACAAACTAAATTTTACTTTTACTGTCAATTATAGCACAAGCATTTAAGGATGACTAGTGTAAAAAATGTATCAAAAGTCAGACAGTACCTTCTGTTTGTTGTTCCAATTCCATAGCTTGCTTTATTATATATATGCAACAACACATCTCTACTGTTATTTGCAGCAGTACACAGAATTCTGTGGGGAAGAGATACCTTTAGGCATTACAGCTTTAAGACAATTACTGATACATAATTACAGTACTGTTGCATGTTAGTGTGGAATTTTATAAAAATGCTTGGACTCCCCCTGAAGTCAATAGAAGCATTACTAAGACAAAGCAGAGTGCTTTTAACAATCCCACTTGTCTGGTTACTAAGAACTCATGTATGTTACAAGTCTTTTTTGTACTAGTGTATTTGGAGGTAGCTGCCAAGCTCTGCCCATGGAAATATTTATCAATATAGCATGTAGTTAGAGAAAGATACAATGACAAGGGACACAAGCCAAATTCTCTTCTCATTTAACCCCATGCAAATCCCAATGGCTTCAACAGAGTTTTATTGGTGCAACAGAAGAGAATTTGACCCAATAACCTTCATTCCATGCCTAATCTGATCAGGTGCTAAACACACACATCTCCCATTGATGTACTTCCTAGATCAGGACTCCAGTGATGTTTGTTTTGAAACACAATAGCAACTACTGAATGCTAGTAGCAAAAAATAAAGGGTGTTTGATGTGACAAGAAAGAAAACCTGAGAGCAAAAATTTAGCAAATATGCTGCTGATTTTAGCCATCAAAACAAGTGCATCTGAGAACTTCAGCCACGGTACCTAAGACTGCCATTAAACATTGGGATTAGTTAGATATTGTTTAGGAGATTGGATTTGTCTTTATTTCTTGGCATCCAGAATTTGTATTTTATTTTTAAAAGGAGTGATTTTTCTAAATTGTCCACATAAAAAAAGAGCTTCATATGGGAAGGAGAGCCCAGTCTTAGGAGAAAAGTAGAGACTCACTGAACCTAACAACTGTCCTCAAAGACAGAAAATGGGGAAAAAATGATGTTTACTTTCTCCAGTTTTAAAGACCTAGTTCAGCAGTCTTTCTTTAGCAGAACTCTAAACAGCTGATGGTGCATTATGTATTAAAACAAACTAGCCAGAGCCATAGATACAAGTCCTCAGGGATTTTCTTCTTAAGCCGCATAGTAGCCTCTATTTTTACCTCCATTATCCTCAATCTCTTTCTTACAGCTAATCATCTAAACATACAGATCTATGTTCAAGAAAGCCATGCATGTGGCATTAGAGATCAATCATTATAGGATGCTTAAAAACTGTATCTTTGATGAAGATATTACTCCTCTTCTTCACTAGCTTCCCCTTTAGTTTACTGTTTATCATTTCCAAATGCTTTATTCCACTATTTGGCAGCATGGTCACTGATTATTTATATATGTTAATGTCGCTATTAATTTTATATGATTCGACACCATACAAAGACATGGTTTATCAGACTTTGCTTAACTCAGCTGTTCTGTGTACATAATAGGTGAGAATTTTTAGGCACTGTATTTGCAAAGCATACTTCTTCAATTAAAAAAATGTGACTCCCCACATATTGTTATCAGAAGCTGACACATCACGGATAACCTGGTTGCTTCAGAACAACTCTCTCCAGGCACTGACCTCAAACAAATACTGTGTAAATTGTGGGAGTCAGGGTAGCAAAGACTAGTGATAACATGAACAAACAAGAGCTGAGAAAGGACCCAAATGTGAATGTGGAGAGCCTTGACAAATCTTCGAACAATACAGTGCCCCCTGTCAATATCCTGCACTCCTGCAGAACTATACACGCTAAGATCATGGCCATGTTTTTGGAGCAATAAACTATGATGATGATGAGAAAATTAAAACACACACCAAGGATGAAAGTAATTACTAGGACTTAGCAGTCCATCAGGCTCCTTGGCAAGATGGGGAGGGTGGCTATGGGTGCCAGGAAGGGGCAGGTCTTTGGGTAGGAGGAACAGGTGCTGCCGCCACGGTGGCCAGGACCTCCAGGGCTGCGGTGGCAGTTGGGAGCCTCAAGGCTCCGGCAGTGATTTGAAGAGCCTGGGGCTTGGTCACTGCTGCTGCAGTAGTGGTAGCTGGGAACTCCAGAACCTTCTAAGTTGCTGGGCCCTGACACAGCTGTCCTATTTGCTCCCACAGACTCCATCAGCGGCCCTGCTGGCAGAACCACCGACAGGAGGAAACAAAAAGGGTAGTAACATTCAAGTGTTACTACAGTAGCGTTTTATTGTTGGCAGTGTAGGGGCTGGTACTGGTGGCTGGTTTTTACCTGCACCCTGTAACTGCCCACTTTCATCTCTGATACGCACGCACACACGGTCAGGCTAAGGGTCCATCTAGCCCAGTATCCTGTCAGTGACCAATGCCAGGTGCCCCAGATATAAATATATACTGAAGCACAGGGAAGACAGAATTGTACAGCTCTGTTAGTACTGACTTCAACCTACATTGAAGCATATTTAGTTTTTAACTCTATTTAGATCGGTTTGAATTGAATACTTTGTTCCGTATTTGAAATGAATACTCAGTAACGTACTATTTTCAACGTCATGCACATACACTGACCTATGGTGCATTAAGTTAGTGGGCTGAGTGAAAAGGCACTTGGAAGAGGGGAACATGGATTCACGAAGGGCAAGTCGTGCCTGACCAATCTGATTAGCTTCTATGATGAGGAAACTGGCTCTGTGGATATAGGAAAGTAAGTGGATGTGATATACCTTGACTTTAGCAAAGCTTTTGATACGGTCTCCCACAATATTCTTGTCAGCAAGTTAAGGGAGTATGGATTGGATAAACGGACTGTATGATGGATAGAAAGCTGGCAAGACCGTCAGGCCCAACGGGTTGTGATCAACGGCTTGATGTCAGGTTGGCGGTCGGTTTCTAGTGGACTGCCCCAAGGATCTGTTCAATATTGTTATTAATGACCTGGATGAGGGGATGGATTGCACCAACAGCAAGTTTGCAGATGACACTAAGGGAGGGGGAGAGGTAGATACTCTGGAGGGCAGGGATAGGGTCCAGAGTGACCTAGACAGATTAGAGGATTGGGCAAAAGAAATCTGATGAGGTTCAACAAGGACAAATACAGAGTCCTGCACTTGGGATAGAAGAATCCCAAGCATTGTTACAGGCTGGGGACTGAATGACTAAGTAGCAGTTCAGCAGAAAAGGATCTGGAGTAGCAGTTCAGCAGAAAAGGATCTGGAGATTGCATTGGATGAGAAGCTGGATAGGAGTCAACAGTGTGCCCTGGTAGCCAAGAAGGCTAATGGCATATTAGGGTGCATTAGGAGGAGCATTGCCAGCAGATCTAGAGAAGTGATTATTTCCCTTTATTCAGCTCTGGTGAGGCCACACCTGGAATACTGTGTACAGTTCTGGGCCTCCCACTATAGAAAGGATGTGGACGCATTGGAGAGGGTCCAGTGGAGGGCAACCAAAATGATTAAGGGGCTGGAGCACAAGACCTATGAAGAGAGACTGAGGGATTTGGGTTTGTTTAGTCTGCTGAAGAGAAGAGTGAGGGGGGATTTGATAGCAGCCTTCAATTTCCTGAAGGGAGGTTCCAAAGGGGATGGAGAGAGGCTGTTCACAGTAGTGAGGGATGGCAGAACAAGGAGCAATGGTCTCAAGTTACAATGAGAGAGGTCTAGGTTGGACATTAGGAAAAACTATTTCACTAAGAGGGTGGTGAACCACTGGAATGGGTTACCTAGGGAGTTGGTGGATCTCTATCCCTAGAGGTTTTTAAGTCTCGGCCTGATAAAGCCCTGGCTGGGTTGATTTAGTTGGAATTGGTCCTGCTTTGGGCAAGGGGCAGGACTTGATGACCTCCAGAGGTCTCTTCCAGTTCTATGATTCTATGAAAAGGAAGTGTTTCTTTATAGATACACTAGATATACTAGATAGAATGTATAGTTTCACACATAAAATAATATTTTTACTATTAAAAAAAGATTTGGTTCCAACAAATTATGCAGTGTTATTGAAATTCATTCCACCCACACAGCACAATCATTTAGGCGTTAGGCAAGTGAAATGTGAGGCAGAAACACAGCCCTCAACCCAAGAATGCAGAGCTCACGGAATTACCATTCCATTCTGCCCCCCTCTGCACCAGTTGAATGGAGGTTCATGTTTGGTGTTCATGCAGCTGTATCTCTAGCTTGCCCTAAGGTGACCTTGCACAACTGCATAGGCAAGATTGGTACAGAAAATTTTCCTGTGGTATTCTATTCTATCCCTCTATCTGCTCACCCTATATGGGTGTCATTGTGCGACTATAATGTAATTAATACATTTTATGTATATTTAACAATATAATAGTACATGAAAATATACAGCAAATTTCAAGATCTTTTGGCAACTTCTAGTTGATCCACTGTGACCCTCGTAGAGTAAAATAAAGTGATGCAGAGGCAGAAGTATGGGGATGTATAAAAAAAATAAAATAACTGGAGTTAAGGACCCAAACAAGGCCAGATAAATCTTCTAGTATTTAATACATTTCAGTTTGTATTCTATTGTTTAACAGTGTGACTGTGATCTTTGAGTTAAACACCTGCGTTAACTGCCATTAAGCAACATCCCTACATTAAACCCATGAGGCTTTTTTGAACCAGCAGCATATCACCTATATATACTAAGTCGGTGTAAATGGTGTTAAATACTCCCCCCCCCCAACCAAAGCAAACCCAACCCAAAACCACACCCACACGCTGTGCGCATCATCACTGACCTGTTTTATGCAGATAACAGCTTTGCTGAAGAAAAGGCGGTGGGACACACCCTGTGCAGGGAGATGCCTATTGGACAAAGCACATCGACAAAGGGAAATTACAGGGAAAAGTCTCATTCCCTGGAAGCCTACTAATGTCCGAGCGAACCCTTAAAAGCCCGCTTGATGCTGATTGTGCCCTGGGTTTTAGCGAGTAGCAATCCAGCGCCTAGCAGGTAGTGGGGCACTCTAGCAATGCCAGGCGGGTACAGCCAGCGATCAGGCCGTGCTGCACCCCGAGACACAGGCGGTCCAGGGATTGTCCCGTACGCGGTCAGCCTGTTTCTGTGCGCAGTAGCTGTCCGAGCCTGGGCGGGTGTAGCAGGCGCTGAGCTCTGGCCGGGTGGGGATGTTGCGTGAACCGAAGCCCCCGTCCGT